TTCTGGGCTCAAGCAATCTTCCCACTTTAGCCTCTAGAGTAGTTGGCATTACAGGAACACACCATCACACCCAGCTGATTTTTTCTGTTTTTTGTAGAGATGGGGTTTTGTCATGTTGCCCCGGGCTGGTCTCAAACTCCTGGGCTCAAATGAGGCCGCTTGCCTTGGCCTCCAAAAGTGCTGAGATTACACATGTGACCCACTGCCTGCCAGGGCTTTTAATTTTAACAAATTTTGCCTAATTGTCTTCCATAAAGTCTATATTAATTTACATTCCTACCAACAGTGCTGCGAAACTAAAACGCAGGACTGATCTTCTCATGCCTTTAGTTTCTTTCTTCCAGCCAACTAGTTAATTGAATAAACCACCTAACTCATCAGTGACTAGTAGTAGTAATTTCATATTCGTGAAGGAAGATGTTCTTGGACTCTCAAATTCTTCTCAGTATGTAGGTACCATCTTCACATAAGAGTTGGTCCAAAGCTGGTTATTATTCTCTAATAATACATATCCCTTTAATAATATATCCCTTTAATATTCATTTTTGCATCCTGACTTTTGTACTTGTTTCATACATCTTAAATTTTTCCATAAATTTCATACATCATATTTCTCAAAGAAATAGGAAGTCTCAATATTGTTGGCTAAAACTGAAAATATGTATTGACCAAGAAAATTGTCTTAATGTTTTAATAACATTCTCTATCTGGGTTTACTGTTTTTCAGAGAGTATGCAGGCATTTTTCAAAGTAAGTAATTGCCAGAAACCTTCAACAGAAGCCTTCGTTACTGGGACACATGTTATACATTACTATATTGCTGCTAAGGAAATTCTTTGGAACTATGCTCCATCTGGTATAGATTTCTTCACTAAAAAAAATTTAACAGCAGCTGGAAGGTAATGATTCACTGGCTAAAATATTTATAGTTAAATAATTAAGATAACTGAAACATTTCATAATCTAGTTCCTTCTAAAAAGGATTTAGGCATCTAATTAAAATATACTGACAAAATAAATATAAGAAAATAATTGGAAAATTTTGAAGCTAAGGAGCATTGCTAGACAAAATTCTTCTCTAAATGGCCTGGCCGACAATGTAAAGGAAAATATACTATTCATCTTTTTCCTAGCACAAAACTTTAAAATGGATTTATTTTATACTTATGAAACATTTAACAACATAGCAGACAATGTCATCAATAACATTTTATTAAAATTTTAAAACATTCTTTATGTGTAACTTATACACTCCTGCTAAGATCTGAAGGCATAATTAAATCATTGAACGTGATATCCCTCAACTATATTCTATAAATATTATTTACTCAATAACACCTAAGACTATGCTAGCAATTGTTGTCTTAATAACCAAAAACTAACACTAAACTACATTATTCTGGCATTAGCATTTAAAAGTGGGCAAAAAGTTTTTCTGATAGTCCAACTGCCAAGTATATTTACCACATTGAGGACAACAGCAGATTTAATTCTTCTGGCTACTGAATGAAGATGCATGTTAGAACAGACAAAGTTCTAAAACCACCAGAAAATAACTTTCTTTATGATACTTATTTTTCTCTAATTCACTCATAGGAATTTGAGAAAGCAAAGAATATTATGTCAAGTAGACATTTTCCCTTCTTTTTTTATTGTTTTTTAATGATACATGATATTTGTACAGATGTAGGGGGTACATGTGGTGTTTTGATATGTGCATACAACATGTGATAACTAAATCAGAGCATTTAAGATATCCATTGTCTCAAACATTCATCATTTCTTTGTGGTGGAAACTTTTCAATTTTTTTTCTTGTGGCTATTTTGAAATATATGATATATTGTTGTTAACCATAGTCACCCCACTGAGCTATTGGACACTAGGGCATATTTCTTCTATCTAATTGTATGTTTGTACCCATTAACCAACCTCTCTTCATTATCCATTACTCCTCACCACCACCCCCAAACATTCTTCCAAGCCTCTGGTAACCATCACTCTATTTTCTACCTCCATAAGATCAACTTTTCTAGCTCCCATGTATGAGGACATATGATGTTTGTCTTTCTGTGCCTGGTTTATTTTGCTTAATATAATGTGCCCTGGTTACATCCATGTTGCTGCAAATGACATGGTCTCAGTCTTTTTATGGCTGAATAGCATTCCATTGTGTATATATGCTACATTTTCTTTACTATTCACCTGTTAATGCACACTTGACTTTTGGGAATAATGCTGCAATAAACATGGAGGTGTAGTTACCCTTTGATATACTGATTTATTTTGCTTTGGATAAATAGCCAGTAGTGGATTGCTAGATTATATGATAGTTCTAATTTTAGTTTTTTGATGAAACTCCGTACTGTATTCCATAGTGGCTGCACTAATTTACATTCTCACCAACAGTGTGTAAGAGTTCCTTCTCTACAACCTCAGCAGCATTTGCTACTTTTTGTATTTTTGATAATAGCCATCTTAACTGGGGTGAGATGATATCTCATTGTGATTTTGATTTGCCTTTCCCTGATGAAGAGTAATGCTGAATATTTTTTCATATATCTGTTGGCTGCTCGTGTATCTTCTGTTGAGAAATGTCTCTTCATTTGACCCTTTGCCCACTTTTTAGTGGGAAGATTATTATTGTTGTTATTATTATTATTATTATTATTATTATTACTGTTAAGCTCTTTGAATTCCTTGTATATTCCGGATATTCATCCTTCATCAGATGAATAGTTTGCAAATATTTTCTGTCATTCAACGGGTTTTCTTTTCACTCTGTTGATTGTTTCCTTTGCTGTGCAGAAGCATTTTAGTTTAACATAATTGAAATTGTCTATTTTTGTTTTTGTTTTCTGTGCTTTTGAGGTATTAGCCATAAAATATTTGCCTAAATCAATGTCCTGGAGTGTTTCTCCCATGGTTTTTCTGGTCAGTTTTTATATTTGGGTCTTACATGTAAGTATTTAATCCCTTTTGAGTTGATTTTTTGCATGTGATGAGATATGGCCTCTAATTTCATTCCTCTGCATATAGATATCCTGTTTTCCCAGCACCACTTATTGAAGAAGGTGTCCTTTCCCGAGTGTATACTCTATGTTCTTGGCACTTTTTTAAGAAGGTTAGTTGGCTGTAAATATGTGGACTTATTTCTTTCTGGGTCTCTATTCTTTTTCATAGGCCTATATGTCATTGGGTTCTCTATTCTTTTTCATTGGCCTATATGTCATTGGGTTTTCTATTCTTTTTCATTGGCCTATAGGATTTTTTTTTTCTATTTTTGTGAATAATGTTATTGGTATTTTATAGGGTTGCCTTAAATCTGTAGATTGTTTTTGGTGTAATGGTCGTTTTAACAATATTAATTTTTATCCATGAGCATGGGTGTCTTTCCACTTTTTGTGTCCTCTTTAATTTCTTTCATCAGTGTTTTGTGATTTTCCTTGTAAACATCTTTCATCTCTTTGGTTAAATTTATTCTTAGGTTTTTTGTGTGGTTTGGTTTTTGTTTTGTAACTATTGTGAATGGGATTGTTGTCTTGATTTCTTCTTCAGCTACTGTGTTATTGGTATATAGAAACACTACTGATCTTTGTATGTTGATTTAGTATGCTGCAACTTTACTGAATTCACTTATCAATTCTAAGAGTTATTTGGTAGTGTCTTTAGATTTTTCTATATATAAGATCATGTCATCTGCAAAAAGAACAGTTTGACTTCCCCTTTTCTAATTTGAATACCTTTTATTTCTTTCTCTTGCTTGACTGCTCTGGGTAGGACTTCCAATACTATGTCAAATAGGAATGGTAAAAGTGGGCATCCTTGTCTTGTTCCAGTTCTTGGAGGAAAGGCTTTCTGGTTTTCTCCATTCAATATGTTAGCAGTGGGATTGTCATATATAGCCTTTATTATGTTGAGAGTGTACCTCTTATGCCTGATTTGTTGAGAGTTTTTGTCACGAAAGGATGTTGAATTTTATCAAACACCTTTTCGGTACCTACTAATATGATTGTATGGTTTTTGTCCTTTATTCTGTTAATGTAATATATCACATTGATTGATTTGCATATGTTGAAACATCCTTGCATCCCTGGGGGGAAAAAAAAAACCCACTTGATCATGGTGTATTATCTTTTTGATATTTGTTGGATTTGGTTTCCAAGTATCTTGTTGAGGATTTTTTCATCCATATTCATCAGAGATAAGTAGTTTTCTTTTTTTGTTGTGTACTTGTCTAATTTTGGTATTAAGGTAATGGTGACCTTGCAGAATGAGTCAGGAAGAATTCCCTCCTCTTCAATTTTCTGAAATAGTTTGAGAAGAATTGGTATTAATTCTTCTTCGTAAGTTTGGTAGAATTTGTCAGTAAAGCCATCCAGTCCTGGGCTTTTCTTTCTTGGGGGATATTTTATTACTGATTCAATCTCATCACTAAATATTGGAGTGTTCAGGTTTTCTGTTTCTTCCTGGTTCAATCTTAGTAGGTTGTCTGTGTCCAGGAACTTATCCATTTCCTCTAGGTTTTTCTGTTTGTTATTGTACAGTTGTTCATAATAATCTCTAATGATCCTCTGTATTTCTATGTTATCAGTTGTAATGTCTACTTTTGTATTTCTAATTCTGTTTATTTGTGTCTTCTCTCTTTTCTCTTGGTTAGTCTAGCTAGTGGTTTATCTATTTTGCTTACCTTTTTCTTAAACTGACTTTTCATTTAGTTGATCCTTCGTATTTTTTTTTAGTCTCTTTTTAACTGAGTTCTGATCTGACCTTTATCATTTCTTTCCTTCTGCTAATTTGGGGTTTGGTTTATCTTGCTTTTCTAGTTCATTGAGGTGCATCATTAGGATGTTTACTTGAAATCTTTCTACCTTTTTTTTTTGAAACAGAGTCTCATACTGTCATTCAGGCTAGAGATTAGTGGCATGATCTCAGCTCACTATAACCTTCACCTCCCTGGTTCAAGTGATTCTCCTGCCTCAGCCTCCCAAGTATCTGGGATTACAGGCACCCACCACCACACCCAGCTAATTATTGTATTTTTAGTAGGGACAGGGTTTCACCATGTTGGTCATGCTGGTCTTGAACTCCTGACCTCAAGTGATCCTCCCACCCTGGTCTCACAAAGTCCTGGGATTACAGGCGTGAGCCACCACACCCAGCCTTTTTCAACTTTTTTAATGTAGGCATTTATTGCTATAAAATACTCTCTTAGCACTGCTTTTGCTGAATCTTAGAGGATTTGTTATGTTGCATTTCCATTTTGATTTGTTTCAATAAATTTTTAAATTTCTTTCTTAATTTCTTCATTGACCCAGTGATCACTCAGGATCATGTTGTTTAATTTCAATGTATTTGTACAGTTTCTAAAGTTCCTCTTGATTTCTAGCTTTATTCTATTATACAATGATATGATTTCAATGTTTAGAAATTTGTTGAAATAGTTTGTGGCCCATCATATGGTCTACCCTGCAGAATTTTCCATGTGCTGATGAAAAGAATGTGTGTTCTGCAGCTAGTGGTTAAAATGTTTTGTAAGTATCTGTTAGGTCCATTTGGTCCAAAGCATAGTTTAAATCTAATGTTTCTTTGTTGATTTTCTGTCTAGATGATTGGCCTAATGCTGAGAATGGGGAGTTGAAGTCCCCAACTATTATTGTGTTAGAGTTTATCTCTCCCTTTAGCTCTAATAATATTTACATTATGTATCTGGGTGCTCTGGTGTTGGGCATATATATTTAGACTTGTTACATTCCCTCACTGAATTGATCCTGTTATCATTGTAAAATGACTTTGTCTCTTTTTACATTTTTGACTTAAAATCTGTTTTATCTGATATAAGGATAGCTACTCCTACTCACTTTTGGTTTTTGTTTCTGTGGAATATCTTTTTTCATCCCTTCGTGTTTAGTCTTTATGTGTCTTTACAAGTGAAGTGAGTTTCTTGTAGGTAGCATATATTTGGGTCATTTAAAAATTCATTCAGCCAGTCTACATCTTTTAATTGGGGAATCTAATTCATTTATATTCAAAGTTATTATTGATAGGCAAGAACTTATTCCTGTCATTTTGGTAATTGTTTTCTGGTTATTTCATGTATCCTTTTCCCTTCTGTTTCTCTCTTAATGTTTATAATTTCAGTTTGGTGGTTTTCTGTAGTCCTTGAGTCCTTTGTCTTTCTCATTTGTGTGTTTGCTGTGCCAATGAGTTTTATGTTTTCAGGATGGTAGATATTATCCTATTGCTTCCAGATATAGTACTCCCTTAAGCATTTCTTATAGGGCCTGTCTAATGGTGATGGATTTCCTCAGTTTTTGCTTGTCTGGGAAAGATTTTATTTCTCCTTCATTTTTGAAAAACAGCTTTGCTGAGTATAGTACTCTTGGTTGACTCTTTTTTCTTCTTCTTCTTCTTTCAGTGTTTTGAGTATATCATCTCATGCTGTTTTGGCCTGTAAGAGTTCTGCTGAGAAATCTGCTGTTAGTCTGATGGGGATTTCTTTATACGAGACTTGATGCTTTTCTCTTGCTGTTTTTAGAATTCTCTTTTTTCTTTCTTTGTTTTTGACTCTTGACTCTAATGTGTCTTAGAGAAGGCCTTTTCAAGTTGATCTATTTGGGGATCCTTGAATTTCCTGTACCTGAATGTCTATATCTGTTGTAAGACTTTGGAACTTTTCAGCTTGTTATTATTATTTTGCATTAACAGTGTGTATGTGTTGTGTGCGTGTGTGTGTGTGTGTGTGTGTGTGTGTTTCAACAAGGAATGAAAACAACCTTTTTTTCTTTCTTTTTTTAGACGGAGTCCTGCTCTGTCACCCAAGTTGGAGGGCAGTTGCATGATCACAGCTCACTGCTGCCTCAAACTCTTTGGCTCAAGTGATCCTTCCACCTCAATCTCTCAGTCTCCCAAGTAGCTAGGTCTCTAGGCACATGCCACCACACCCAGTTAATTTTTCAAATGCTCTGTAGAGATAGAGTCTTACTACCTTGCCTTGTCTAGTCTCAAACTCCTGGCCTCAAGCGATTTTCCCACCCTCCCAAAGTGTGGGATTATAGACATGAGCTACTATGCCCAGTCCTCAGCTATTATTTTGTTGAATAGGTTTTCTATGTCTTTGTCAATTTCTTCTCCTTCTGGATTACCCAACATTTGAATATTTGGTAGCTTTATGTCACTCATATGTCACATATGCTTTTTTCATTCTTTTTAATTCTTCATTTCTTTCTCTCTCTCTCTCTTTTTTTTTTTGGTCTGACTGGGTTGTTTCAAAATACCAGGCCTTAAGTTCAAAAATTATTTTTTCAAGTCTATTGTTGAAGCTCTAGATCATATTTTTAATTTTTTAAAAATTCTTCAGTTCTAGGATTTCTTTTTGGATTTTAAAAGTTGTATCACTGTTGAATTTCTTATTCAGATCATGAATTTTTTTCTGATTTCTTTGTATTGCTTATCTGTGTTCTGTTGTATCTCGCTGAGCTTCAATATTGTTATTTTGATTTTTTTTGGCATTCCATAGATTTCTTTTTCATTGGAATCTGTTGCTGGAGAATCATTGTGTTCTTTTGGAAGTGTCATGTTTCCTCGCTTTTTCTTGCTTCTTGTGTTTTACATTGATATCTGCACTTCTTCCCATTTTGGGGGGATGGGGGTTGGCTTTTGTAGGAAAAGACTTTTTCTTTAGATGTCTTTATAGTGTGGATTGGGTAGGATATTTGAACTTTGATTCTTGCTGCGTGCAGTCATGTGGTTTCTGTACGATTTCTTCAGCTGTAATCAGCATCAGTGGTGCTTGTGAGTTCCTTGGTGGCTTATGCTGCGGTTGTTAGTGGAGGCTGTGGTTTTGCTGGGGATGGGGATGCCAGATGGGACAGTTCTTGGGCCCCAGTGGTGGTGGCAGCAGGCTGAGTCTTCCCGTCCCTGGGACCCAGCAGTATACATGGGCACTGGTGTTAGAGGATCCAGACAGGCTAATTATTGGGCCTCCAAGTGGCTTTCTTAGGTGTCAGCAGTGGCAATGGTGATTTGGGCATATCTTTGGGTCCCTGGGTGGCATGTATGGTGTTGGTGATGGCAGGAGTGGTAGCAGGCCAACCCTCAGGCCCCCAGGGGACATGCATAAGTGCCAGTGGTGGAAGCAACAGTCTGAGCAGGTCATTCCCTAGAGCCCCAGGTGGTACATGCAGGTGGGTGCTAGCAGTGGTGATGGCAGCAGGTTGGGCAGACCTGTCCTCATACCCTGGAAGTAGTGTACACATTCAGCGGTGGTTGGTGGAGAAGGTTGATCCTCAGGCCTCGATAACACTTGTGGGCTCTGGCAGGCCAGGCAGGTCCCCAGGAGAAGTGCATAGATGCTGGTGATGACAGGCAGGGTGGATCGATCCCCAGGTCCCTGGACAGCACATGTGGGCAATGGCAGAGGTGGCATCAGGCATAGTGGGCCTGTTCTCAGGCCCTCGATGATGTGCATGAGTGTAGACTGTGGTGGATAGGATGGGTCAATCCCTAGGTTCCCAGTTAATGTGTGTGGGCACCAGCAGAGTGGGCAGACTCACCCTCAGGTCCCTAGATGGCATGCCTGGGTGCCAACAGCAGGTGGGGCAAGACAGTCTTCAGGTCCCCTGATAGTGCACATGAGGAACAGCTGTGGCAGGCAGGGGAAGTCGATCCCAGTACCCAAGATGGCACAGTTGGGTGGAAGCAGCAGTGGGCAGGTATGCCTGTCCTCAGACTCCAGGACAGCATCTAGATGGGCTGGTTTCATGTCCACCAAAGGTGCATTCAGGTGTGTGGTAGCTCTGCTGCTGAAAGGGCAATGTTTGTTATCAGTGGCAGTCACTCCAGGCAGGTGGCTCTCAGGCTCTGGAGAGGGTATGCACAGCTCACCTTGTTCTGGGGTAGCCTCCCTGGTGCACTGCACAGCCCATCCCCCACAGTGTAGAACGTATGGGCCAGAGTGCTGGGGACCCGGCCACTCTACTGGATCCAGCTAGTGTTACTGTGCTTTAGCCATCTGAGTGGACAAAGGGGAATTTCAGTGGGGTTCTAGGGATGTGGAGATATAGGGGCTGTTGGGCCCTGGGGCAGGATACAGTCTGGTGGGGGCTGGGAGCTCAAAATGGTGCCATGCTATAGCTACTTGGGTCTCGGGGGTTGCATGGGACCCAGCATGAACTCCCTCTCTGGAATGATGCCATTGTATCAACTCCAAGCCACTGTCTCTACTAGTCTCACAGCCTGCAAGGGCTGAGGGGCTCTCCTGTGGCTAGGATTGCAAGAATCCATGGTGGAAGTATGGACTGCTGAAGATCTCTCACTTATCTTTTTCCCACACTGGGGAGCCTCTCCTGGCTCCCAGCCAATCTGAGCAGTGACAGCTGCCTTGCTTCCCTTTCCTTCTGTCTCTCAGATGTTCTTTGACACTTTCCTGCCGAATTCCAGTGTTCTCTCTTCGATGCTCTATCCAACTTGTGATTATCTACTCAGTGTTTTGGTCCTTCTTTGTGAATGTGAGTGCTGGGTGCCTTTAGTCCTTTTCTTACATTTTAAGCTTATCAATAAATTACTCAATCTGTGTAATGGAAATTTTGTTATTAAATGTCAGAAAGATAACTGGGCTTAGAGCAAAAAACTAGATTTAGATTTAGGGCTTACTCTCATTTTATATTGACTAAAATAAGTATGAATTAATAGATTCATTTTGCTTGATCCTCCGGGCTGTAAAATTCTATGATGTTTTGGCACAGCAAGTTACCACTTCATTGTTAGGAAATACTTCTTCTCAGAGGCTCCTTTTTATTATAATAATTTAAAAAATAATAACATCTATCTTTTTAATATTATAGCATCTCTGCAAATAGTTGTTTTAATAGCAATATTTGTTATTACCTGCCTGAAAAAAAGTCAGATATCATACCTTTTTAATTTTTATTCCAAAAGAAAGTTTTCAGACAAATGAGTAGGTAAATACATATAGATAATTATATATATGTGCATAGACAAAAGACTGAAAGGATATTTACATAAAATATTGGCTGTGGTAACATATAGATGGTGGGATTACGGAGATTTCTGTTTTCTTTGTTGTATTTTTCTTTCTTTTTCAAATTTTGGATAATGAGCATGCATTACTTTTATAATCAGAAATAAATTACAAATATTTTAAACAGATGTGTTTGGATTCTTTCTATCTTTTCACATGATAACTGTAAATATAAAAGTTCTTTGTGTATCTACCTTCTCTGCACAGTAAATCCCAGTTATTTTTTGAACGAAGTCCAACCAGAATTGGAGGAACTTACAAAAAACTGGTTTACCGTGAATATACAGATGCTTCCTTCCAAACACAGAAGGCAAGAGAAGAACACCTTGGAATCCTTGGTAAAATTCTGTTCATAGCTTGTGGGGTTATAAACATTATTTACAAATATTCTGCAATCAAAATAGTATTCATCAACCCAGTTAGAGATTTTAGCGATAATATTATAGCCTTATGAAAATAATACATCAATTCACCCAATGACTTTATTTTATTTTATTTTATTTTATTTGAGACGGTCTTGCTCTGTTGCCCAGGGTGGAGTGCAGTGGTGTGACCTCTGTTTACTGCAACCTTTGCCTCTCAGGCTCAAATGATCCTCTCATCTCAGCCTCTGGAATAGCTGGGACTACAGGAACGCACCATCATACTCAGCTAATTTTTGTGATGTTTTTGTTTTGTTTTTTTTGAGACAGGGTCTCACTCTTTTGCCCAGGCTGGAGTGCAATGGCACAATCCCAGCTCACTGCAATCTCTCCTCTCAGATTCAAGCAATTCTTGTGCTTCAGCCTTCCAAGTAGCTGGGACCACAGACACACATCACCACACCCAGCTAATTTTTGTATTTTTTGTAGAGACCGGGTTTCAACATGTTGCCCAGGCTGGTCTCGAACTCCTGGGCTCAAGCCGTCTGCCCATCTCGGCCTTCCAAATTGCTGGGATTACAAGCGTGAGCCACTGAGCCCAGCCCACCGTGATTTTAACTACATTCTTTGTTCCTATAAATCCAAAGAGACTAATCTTCATCTAATATTTAATATCTTTGATCCAAAGTGACTTTATAAGACCTTGAATCATCTAGTCTTCTTGCAGTTGCACCCATTTCTGGGTTCATGGCATCATCCCTTTAATTTCTTCCTAAAAGAACTTTACTCAAGTAACACAGCTTGACAGTGAATTACTAACTCTGTTGGTTTCTAGGCCCTGTTATTAAGGCAGAGGTGGGACAGACCATCAAAATCACTTTCTATAACAACGCTTCCCTACCACTCAGCATTCAGCCTCATGGACTCCTTTACAACAAGAGCAAAGAGGGCTCATTCTACAAAACACCTGGAGAAAGTAAGTAGAGCTCAAGGGAGGTCCAAGTGAGCCATACCGCCATATAATGCCAGCAAGAAATATAACTCTTATTGTGCAGCCTACCTGTCACAGTGTAACATCTCTGCATACTTATTGTGGCAGAGTTATTACTTTAGTTCCTATTCAACTGTCACCCAAAGAGAAAGATCTGTTCTTGCTCTCAGAGATCTCACAGCCTAGACTAGTGTACTTATGGTTTTAGGTTATATTCTATAAATGTTTATTTCTTGTTAGGTACCCCTCCACCCTCTTCACATGTAAATCCTGGCACAACATTTGTCTATACATGGGAAGTTCCAAAAGATGTGGGTCCCACCTCCACAGATCCCACCTGCTTGACCTGGTTCTATTACTCTTCAGTAAATGAGAAAAGAAACATCAACAGTGGCCTTCTGGGGCCTCTCCTTGTATGTAGAAATGGAAGTCTTGGAGAGGATGGCAAACAGGTGAGTCCTGAGGCATATGGCCAGGTAACCCTTGGTGAGAGGTGCCTGAGACAGAACTGCAGAGGAATGACAATGTCTCAGGGCCAGAGGAATCAGCAGCTTCAACTTCTGTGTACTGATGTCTCCCAATTCTATTCTTTCCTCAATTAAACACCTGGTTCTGCCCAATAAACATGTACCCTGGCATGTCCCACAGACATCTCATCCTTTTGGGCAGACCTTTACCGCCCCTCCCTTTCCTAAATCAGCCTCTTTTCTTCCTCTGCTCTATGCCTTAGTTAATAATATCACCAAACCTTGGACTTTCGTCAACAACTCCTTCTGTCTCACATACACATTTATCACACTAAGTCTCCAATACCTCTGCATTATTTTAGGCACTATCATCTCTTTCTGAATTCCTTTCATTCTTAACTTCCGTCTCCACTCTTATCTTGCTTTAGTACAGCTAGTCCACATCCCTCCCTAAGGAATCTGGTTATAGCACTCTTGAAACAAAATCTCCCCACAATTTGTTGACGCAGAAACCAACACATCAGATCCTGACAATTCCCTCAGATTTATGTCCCGTCCCACCCCTACACTGCAGAATTAGCTTCTTCTAAATGGCAAAGTAGAATTCTGCATTATGGTGGAATTAGCTCCTTAGGCCCTGAGTAAGGAAGGTTATTTGACCTCTCTGATTTTCCCCTCTTCTCTCCATCTGGAATGGCCTTTCCTCACTGTTTTATCTGCCAAAAGTGGGAGACATTTTTGAAACTCAGACTGAGAGTACCTTCCTTTGGACAATGTTTCCTGACTAATGTCAGTTGAAGCTCCTGCAGGTTACCATAGTCCCTTAGGTATGTTTCTATTAGCATATTTATCCATGCAATTGTTTTCATTGGCCTGTTTCTTCCACTAGGCTGTTTCTAGTGGAAGTATACACAAGGTTTTCTAGAAAGTTTCTAGAAAGTATAAACAAGATTTTATTAATTTTTTAATAATAACCACAGCTCCTCTTGGGCATATAATAGGTGCTCAATAAATGTTAGTTAAATGAATTTCCCTTTTTTCTCACTCAGAAGTGAACTAATATCTAGTTCTTTTCTACATTTATATAAAAAGTATAGGTAACAAAGCTTTATAAATCCATACATATATAACAATGTATATCTTATTCAAAATTATAAATATATATTTATATTTATCTATATAATGAGTCATATTTATAGTGTCATCATTCTTATAACACATATAATTTTTACATTTAATCTAGTAATATGTTTATATTAAATTTGTTCAAAAGCCCTAAAAACTCAGACTTTCTAGAATTGAAAACTATTTATTTAACTTACTTTCCATAGAGTACATTATGTTAAAAGCCACTATAAACATCTTATGGTTTAGTTTATGAAGTTTAGATATAGGAATCTCTGGAGTAAACACTTTATATTAAAAAAGTCACAGAGATTTCTCCCGACTCCTTAGTTCTGTGATAATTCATTCACTGGAAGTTGTGCCTTTCTATGGACTATCCAAAATCAGGAAGTCCACTGATCAAATTTTTCATAAGTACACAATCTCCTTGTGTGGGAAACACTGTATGCAGATCAACCATTTGGCTAGATTTGAATATGGACCGTCTATACTTCATATCTATTCCTTTTTCTATTCTCTTCCACAGAAAGGAGTAGACAAAGAGTTTTACCTACTTGCCACAATATTTGATGAAAATGAAAGTGATCTCTTGGAGGAAAATATCAGAACGTTTATCACAGAGCCTGAAAACATAGATAAAGAGGATCCAGACTTCCAAGCCTCAAATAAGATGTACTGTAAGAAACAATTTAACTTACAAGATAAATGCATTAAACACTGAATTTTATTTTGCCTAAAGAACTATGGATTAAAATGGACTTAGGTTTTCCCCACAACGGTTGGCTAATACACTTACGTTTCCTTTAAATATCATTTCCCAGTCAGGTGCGGTGGCTCACACCTGTAATCCCAGCACTTTGAGAGGCCGAGGTTGGTGGATCACCTGAGGTCAGGAGTTTGAGACAAGCCTGGCCAACATGGTGAAACCCCGTCTCTACTAAAAATACAAAAATTAGCCAGGAGTGGTGGAGCATGCCTGTAATCCCAGCTACTTGGGAGGCTGAGGCAGGAGAATCACTTTAACCCAGGAAGCAGAGGTTGCAGTGAGCTGAGATCGTGCCTTTGCCCTCCAGCCTGGGTAACAAGAGCAAAACTCCATCTCAAAAAAAAAAATAAATATATACATAACAAATAAATATCATTTCCTAAGAAGAATATTATCTACTAGGGTGATTATTTTGAATTTAACTTACCAAATATTTACCAACACCTTCTTGGTGCAATATATTTTATCTATAGCTAAATGTGAAAAGTCACGTACTTCTCTATTGCCAAATTCGAAGAGTGGGTGGAGTAGGGTGTTTGTTGAGCTGGTTGGGTGGGTTGATAGGTGGCTGGTTGGTTGGTTGTTGGTTTTTGAAGACTGTACAGTGCAGTGGGAAAAGGGTTGATCCAGAATCTGGAGACTTGGACTTTGGTCTTAACATTTCAGTTTATTAGCCATATGACATTGGACAAGTAACCACTTCTCTGGCCTTGGTTTCCTCAACTCTAAAAGGAAGGGCTTGACTGGAATAACCCAGTGAGAGTATCATGGAATTCTGTCATTCTCTAATTCTATAATGTCATTTTTAGCCCCCATGAAGTGATTAAATAACAATAGAGGAGAGGAAAGTTGAAAAAATTGCTTTGCTTTTTTTTACATGAATGAGCTGCTTCATGATTAATACTTTGTTGGGTTTCAAAAGATATCAAGTACCAGTACATTAAATACTCTTTCCTTTGTTACAAATGCCTTACAGCCATAAATGGATACATGTATGGAAATCTGCCTGGATTGGATATGTGCTTAGGAGACAACGTTTTGTGGCACGTTTTTAGTGTAGGATCAGTGGAAGATTTACACGGGATATATTTTTCAGGAAATACCTTCACTTCTTTAGGAGCAAGAAAGGACACAATACCTGTGTTTCCTCATACTTCTCAGACACTTTTGATGACACCTGATTCTATAGGTGAGCAGTGGGTCTTTTCATTCAGCCTGAAACATTAAAGTATGCAGAAGCACTATCTTTATATGCACTGAATGTTCTGTACAGAAAAAAAAATTGAACTGATACAAACAATGCTTGAGAAACCTTTGCCCTGCTCCATTTCATTTATAAGAGCCTTAGTGTCTCATTTTCCTGTACACATAAATCCCCTCAGTTTTTTCAGGTCCTCTTCCTAGTTCTTTAGGCTTTAAACCATCCCAATGCTCTTCAAACATGATGCAGATGTTTTAAATCCTTTAAACTCATCTTCATTCTGTTGTCTTCTGCATTTCTTACTCTTCGGTCCATTTGTTTCCCAGACCTTCCTCCTGCTTCGACCTTACCCTGCTGCCTTGTGCCTTCCTCTTTCTATCCTCCTTACTTGCTTTGCTCTCTAGATCAATGTTTTAGCTTCAGTGAGGTTGATCCTTGCTGGCAACATTTTTTTTTTAAGAAGGCGCCCCGTATCAAAGAACTGTGTGGGCGTCAAAGGAAACCAGCCTTCTTTCTGAACCTCATTTCCTCATTTGTAAAATAGGAATTGTAAAAACTTGTAATTTGCAAAAAGGAACAGACAATGATCAATGAGATAGGTAAAGTATAGTAAAGTGCCTGCCGTATGTTAGACTTTCAATAAATGCGAGTTCCTTCTTTAATCCAGTACATCAACCCTTGTCCTTTACACCTGTCCCCCCAAAATCCATCTATCTTGGTCAAAAATGACTGATACCAACCAAAACCAGGCTATATGATAAACTACTGTGTAAATACCGTGAATTGGTATCTTGACTCTTTGTGATGCCAGATATTCATTTGACTACATTTTCTTCATTTCAACATTTAAAATTTTACTTTTCAAACAAACAAAATTTGTGATTCAGAGTAATTGGAGGGGAAAAGAAAGAGATCTTTGGCCGGGTGCGGTGGCTCACGCCTGTAATCCCAGCACTTTGGGAGGCCGAGACGGGTGGATCATGAGGTCAGGAGATCGAGACCATCCTGCCTAACACAGTGAAACCTCATCTCTACTAAAAATACAAAAAACTTAGCTGGGTGTAGTGGCGGGCGCCTGTAGTCACACCGGAGGCTGAGGCAGGAGAATGGTGTGATCCCAGGAGGTGGAGCTTACAGTGAGAGATCACACCACTGCGCTCCAGCCTGGTCGACAGAGCAAGACTCAGTCTCAAAAAAAAAAAAAAAAAAAAAAAGAGAGAGCTCTTTCTCTGGTGCTTTTTTTCCCTCCTCTTTGTTAGAGATGTACCTGCATGCTCATTCAGGGACAAGTTATTTCTTTGTCCTGCCCCAGTCCTTCCTCACCTCTCCCATGCAGGTGTTTTTCTGGATTTAAAAACTACCTTGTCTCATTCTCTTTTCCAAGGCATATCAACTGTAGCAAACAAGTGGAGACATGTACACTATATGTCAAACATGCTGCTAGAGCTTGTACAGGGATTATTTCGTTTTAAACAAATTCTTTTTCTCAAACCCTCTGAGTCTGAAGGTTTTGCTTTCTCGTACATCTTCTTAAACCTTACCCTCAACAAAAGTCACAGCAACAACAGAAATATGTAGAGTTGAAAAGAGCATTCGTCAAGAAGCAGTGTCAGCACGTGGTGGGCCTAAAATTACCAAGGTAAAAGAAAGAAAACTGGAATTCAGGTGGAATGTTCTGGTCGGAATCAGGCTAGAGTTTTTTTTTTGTTATGGTGGTTTGTTTTCGTTTTTGTCATTGTTTTGGATTTTTAATGTATTTTTAATGTATTCAACTTTTTTTCACTCCCTCCTCTGCTACCTACCACTCTGATCAAAGCCATTATCTCCCATCGATTACTTTTGACAGCCTCTCAACAGATCCCGTTTCTTCCACCATTGTACGCGCCAGTCTATTCTCAGCACAGCTGCTAGAGTGTCCTTATACCCTTCATTGACTTAAAATCCCACAGTGGCTCTCCATTTCACTCAGTGAAAGTATCATGTATTCAGTGGCCCACAAGAGCTCCACGACCTGGCCCTCCACTCACTAGTACTCTCACCCTTGCTCCCTCCCTCCAGACACACTGGCCTCTTGGGTGGTCTTCATACACACCAAACAGACTCCTGGCCTGGGGCCTTTGCTACCTGTTTCTTCTGCCTAGAGAGAACACACTTTTACACTTTTCCTCCAGACCCACCTCATCTCTTATAAATTTTTGCCCAGATATTACCCTCTCATCGAGGCCTACCCTACTTACCCATGATATTGCTCACTGCTCTCTTGAGCCCTTCCCAACACACAACCAGAATTCTCAGTCCTCCTTATGCTGTTTTCCTTTTTTTCTTTAATCATAGCTCTTATCACCTTCCAGCATACATACAAGTTGCTTAACGTGTTTCTTGTCTGTCTCCACAACACCTTGCAATATGAACTCTGAGAGCAAGAATTTTTAACTCTTTTGTTCTCTGATGTTTCCTGAATGCCTAGAAATACGTCTGACACAAAGAAGGTGATCAATAAATATTTGTTGAATTAATGAAAGAATGAATGAATGATTTTACTATACTTCTTTTGAGGGTTGCAGCTTATGAATAATTTTACAGAGGAAAGAAATCTGAAGGCAAAGCTTTAACCATTCCTTTCTTATTCGTCTGCAGGAACTTTTGATTTGGTTTGCATAACAATAGAACACAATCTAGGAGGCATGAAACATAAATATCATGTGAGGCAATGTGGGAAGCCAAACCCTGATCAAACACAATACCAGGAGGAGAAAATTATTTACATTGCAGCCGAGGAAATGGAATGGGATTATTCTCCTGGCAGAAAGTGGGAGAATGAACTCCACCACTTACAAAGAGAGAAGTATGGTGATAGCTCCAGTCTCTAAATGGGAAGGGTTCTAAGGGTTCTTTCTGAGTCTTCCTGTCTTTCCTTTCAATCTGTCTGTGTGTGTCTGTGTCTGTGTCTGTGTCTGTGTTGTATTTATTTGTGTTTGGTATGGTGGGTGTGTATGGTATACTTGTGTTTGTTACGGTGTATGTGTGCATAATGGGTATATAGGTGTGATATTTGTGTGTTTAGGATATTTTCAATTATAAATCACTTCAAAATTTGTGTGTGTGTGTGACATATTCAATTGCAAAGGGCTTCAAATCTTTCTGAATATCTATATAACTTACTTATGGGCTTTATTTCTTCCTGCCTGTCTTTTCACTTCGTGCATCCTTCCTGGACATACGTTACTGTCTGATCTCACCACAGGAATAGTAACATAACTTCAGCTACTTTCAGTATTTACAATCTGTCAGGTTTTTCTTTTGTCTTCATTTTCTTCTACCTCTGTTCTTCTGAGAACTTCAAATTAAAGACACCCGTTTTTCTCTTTTTGTACAATTTGATTTCTTTTTCTGGTTTTTCTCTCTTACTATTTATTTATAAAAACTAAATTTTATCCAGAAAATATGCTTTAAAATGTAGAGTGAATAACTATCTTGCTAGAATTAATATATTTTTTAAAAAGATGACTTACATTTCTAGGTAAAACCGCTTCCAGATATAAGAAGTTCTTCCATATGAGTTCTTTGTCTAAATTAATGGTTAAATGAACTAACTTTGTGGGGTTTTTTTTGTTTTTGTTCTTATTTTCTTAAAGCCAAACGAGCATGTTTGTGGATAAAAGTGGAACACTTCTTGGGTCCAAATACAAGAAAGTCTTATATCGTCAATATGATGATGACACGTTCACAAATCAAACAAAAAGGAATGAAGATGAAAAACATCTTGATATACTAGGTATTGATATGCCATAAGATTGGTTTTCGAGTTTTTCTTGTCCTCAGCCATTAGAAATTGTTGTACGCATGGAGGCCGTTGTCAACCTCTACTTTGAAAGAGGAAAGTTCCTGTAATTCTAATTTGTTTGCTGATAGGCATCTTCACTGGGGAAAAAAATGATTCAAGTGTTGTTTCCTAAAAAATAAGGAGAATGTGGAAAAGTAATGTGCTCAGTGTCAGATTACCTGGATTCTTGCTCTCGGAATTAAAAAAATTCTAGAAAGGAGTTTAGAAGTAGCATTTAGGGATCATTTCAATAAAATTAAAACAAAGTCCAGGGGACCCTAGTAGAGTGAGGAAAGGAACTTCTTTATGTAAATTGAAGTGTCTTCTGTCTGAGTGAGGAAATTACAACTCTTTCTTCCACCCTTGATAGATCAACTAGGAAACCTCTGAGTCACCCCAGGTGCCCACATGCGACATTTCCACACGACCAACTCCTGTTTCAGTCTTAATATCTATGTGTATGTTAGAGGTTATTTTATGATGTGGGACTCTGAGGAGATGGATTTACATGCTGATGAAGAGGAACTTTTGCTCCTCTTGGCTCTCCGTGAGCCTCTAGAGCTTGTCTCTTTGTGAGCCCTGGAGGGAAGCCTCTTTGGAGGGAAGCCTATGCTATCCTGTTGCTGCTGCTTTTGAGTGGGCTCCTATCTTTAGTAGCCACGGGATGTTTGTTTTCTCTAGGATTCTGGCTGAATGCATGAAGAGACATAATGCAATCTGACCCTCAAGGTTCTATTATTTTGTATGCAAAAAGGAAAACACTTATTAAAAAGAAAAAACATGCATATTGTTTGGGGAGGTGAAATGGTCACAGGCAGCAAAGAGGCCCTGTCTTTAGCTAGCATTTAGCCTAGAGCAGGCGTCTTCAGGGCTCTAATTTTAGTAATTGTAGCACAGGTTTGCAGAGTTCTTGCTGCTTATCTCATCTCAAAACCACCTGTGTTTCAGAAGTTTTCAGAGCCACTGATTCAATCTGCTTCCAAATAGAAAGAAGATTTAAAATTAATTTTATACCTGTAGTTCTTGGCTTAGGATGAAAGGGAGAGAGTAAAATGAAGGTTTTTAGTCTGTAAGAGAGAAAATCACTTTGGGTCAATAAACAGGCCTTGCAGCTCCTTGCAATCCTCCAGTAGAATAAGGAGCAAGAGAATAAAAGCCTTGAAATTTGAGATTGGTCAACAAAGAATAGAAAGGGTTTCATCTTTAAATTGTATGTTTTCCTAAGCATAAACCGATGTTCATTAAAATAAGTTTTCTGGCAAAAACAAGACAAAACAAAAACTCATAAAATTCTAAATGATTTAAAAATTTCAGGCAAAAATCATGTCTCATAAATCAGCAGTGATCTACTTGTTAAATGTTTTTATTTCATTTGGCTGCATGTTAAGTAAAAGGATAAGAATAAGTCACTGTGTAAATACTTAAGAAGACAGATGACTCATGATTTAAAATAAATAACAATTATCCAGACATATTCCTTTTTATATTCCCTAGGTCCATTAATATTGCTCAACCCTGGTCAAAGAATTCAAATTATCTTTAAAAATAAAGCCTCAAGACCGTATTCTATCCATGCTCATGGAGTGAAAACAAATAATTCCACTGTTGTTCCAACTCAGCCAGGTAATTACTCTGGAAGAAAAAAAAAAAAATCCCCAAAGCTTCTATGCAGGACTACGAGGCTAATGTTCTTTTAAATATATGGGTGCAGTTCCAGATGAGAGAGACCAGTGCACTAGTAAGATGGGCCTGAAGAAAGCATTTGGCGGGGAAGTTCCTTCTGCAAGTCAAGTTTACTTCCAGATTGGGGCACCATGAGCAAAACTGTGAAGTGAAGGTTTGGTCTTCAGGGACCACCTCCCCAGTGTATCAATTTCTCCTCTAGATCCACCCTCCCTTCCACCTCTTTACCTGTCCAGCTGCCAGGTATTCTTATACTATATTCAATCTCTCCAACTAAGGTGCTAAAGTAGGAGTTGAGTACAAGATGCAATATGTGAGAAAGTAGGGGAGGATTGAGCCAATAAGAGGAAATGATGGACCCCATGTATTAACATTTCCATGAAATGGAATCACTGCTACACAGCATGCCATTCAACATAATTAACTCAGAAGAACATTCATATTTTTTAATAAAAAATGTCCATTAAGCAGACTCTGATATGAGGATTTGTGTGTAGATAGTGCTCTTGGAATCAGCTAATATGGAAAGAATGAGAAATGAGTATGATTGGACAGGGAGTGAGGTTGAGCAGAGATGCAGCCTCAACAGAAGTCACAGTCAACCCCACTCTGATGATAGGGTGACCCTCAGCTGTCCTAAGCTGGAGTGAGACAGCTGGGCTGTTATGTCCCTGCAGCAGTTATTAGATGCAATCTTGAGCAAGGTGGTTTTCTTCAGCCAAGTCTCTCTCTAAAGCAGGCTGACACCTGCAGGAGTGAAATGTTCTTCATTCTTGATTGGGGATCTAGGGGTGTCCTAGAATGTCCACTATAATTGCTCACCAAAACAAGTAGTTTTGGAAATTAAGAGTATCAATGAAAGCCAAATTCAGAAAGAAATGATTTGTAAAGCAGAGGGACTGATGATAGACTTTGATGGTGGGCAAAATATTTCTTTTTGTTTTTAAAAACAGTCTTATGGTCTGTTGAGTCTCGTATTAAGGGAGTTTGCAAGTCAGCCCTCTGTTCTGATTAGTTAGGAAAGGATCTACTACATGCATTCCACAAACACTTCTGAGTACTCTACCTGCTATATGCCAGGCATTGTGTGGTGTACTGGAAGGCAAGGGTTAGTGCTAAGTAGATTGTTACAGATTTGGGAGCTGGGGTTAGGGTTGGTTAATGTCACAGGACTATAACTCCCATGGAGCTTTGGAAGTGGGAGACACAGGATTATGGTGGGGAGGGAGCAAAAGAACTTTACTGCAAGAATATAGAATTAAGATCCAATAGGACTAATATGCACAGCCTTGAGGTCAGGGAGGAGGTACATGTGATCCACACATTGGAAGGTTCAGAGCTGGGATTCAAGGCTTTGTCACATTGAGTAATTGCCACATTGACTAAGATCAGAAAGCAAGAAGTGAAACCAGAAGTGAAAGCTAGGACTATGCTGCCTACTATTTTTATAGCTTTAGTGTTTGCTCATCGTCTGGTTCTCCATAAAGAAGTCTGATTTTAAAAGTTCTATTTAAATACACTTCATTTGTCTATTTCAGGAGAGATTCAGATATATAATTGGCAGATACCTGATAGAACTGGTCCTACCTCTCTGGACTTTGAATGCATACCTTGGTTTTACTATTCAACTGTATCTGTGGCTAAGGTAAAGTTTAAATCAAATAAGAGTTCTTATTCTATCTCCTCTTAGAAATTATAATGGAAGAAAGAAGGTGTTTATCATTGTTCTTAAAAATCTTAGTTCTGTGTAAACTTTCTATTAAGTAACTTAACTACTGTTCAGCTTTTATTCCTACATGGGTCTGCGTTTTTCAAAAGCAAAAGAAATTATTACATTATGGTTACTTAAGTTTATAATTTGTTGCATAATCTCACTGTGAATTGAAAAATATAACTAATTATACAACAATAGACTATACTTTGTTCCACTGAATAGTATTTGAATTACAGAAAACAACATACTGTAAAGAATTTTAAAATTCAGTTGGATGTGGTGGCTGATGTCTATACAAAAAATTTTAAAATTAGCCAGGCACAGTGGCACGTGCTGTAGTCCTAGCTATGGGAGGCTGAGATAGGAGGATCGCTTGAGTCCAGGAGTTCAAGATTATGCTGAGCTATGGTCACACTATTGCCTAGGTGACACAGAAAGATTTGGTCTCTAAATAATAATAATAATAGTAACAATAGTAATAATAAATGAAGAATGGTATCATTCTATGATTAATAAGAAATGAATATATACATATTGTGTGTGTGTGTGTAGGGGGTGTATGTGTGTGTTTATATTTAAAACCTTCAATTATAGGGTTCAGGTTTATTTGCACTAAAAAAAAAACAGTGCAAGTGTTCTGTTTGAACTCTTATCTTGGCCCACTCTGTCTGGAACAAGAATCTACACAGAGATTTAATTCAAAAACAAAATGAAGACTCTCAACTAAAATTTGCTGCAGGGGCAAAAGCACAAAGGTGAAGGGACTAACACTTCCTGCCAACCAACTTCAATGCCAGGAATTCTAATTAAAACCAAAATTCTTTTTTTATTAAAATGTCAAAAATAGAGCTAAATCCACTGAAAAATGTATCTAAAGTCCCTTTCAGAGGTCTGGTGTTCTCTTTAGACTTCAACTCTAATGAATGAGGTTACAATTTTTCTTCAATCAAGCATTGAGCATGTCAAACATTTTGTTCCTCACTCTCAGAATCCTGATAATTAAAAACTCAGGATCTGACCTCATTAAAAACTAAAACTTGAATCTACCTCTTTTATTTTGTGAGGGAAAATGTTAGTTGTGGCCACAGTGAATGATCTTGCTTTGCCTCCTCAGGACCTTTACAGTGGACTGGTAGGCCCTCTGATTGTATGCCGCAAAGACATCAGCCCCAACATAGTTCACCGTGTTCTCCACTTCATGGTTTTCAATGAGAATGAATCCTGGTACTTTGAAGACAATATCAACACCTATGCTTCAGAGCCAAACAAAGTGGACAAGGAAGATGATAATTTTCAACTCAGCAACCACATGCATGGTAACATTCACTCACTGACTCACCAATGGTAACCCACAGGTTGCTCTGCACAAATGAAACAGATGAAAGGGCCTCACTCAGCACAGTTTATAGAATTCAACTACATAGGACTGGTATAGATCATGTAGACCAGGGGTCGGCAAATTTTTTCTGCAAGGGCCAGATAGTAAAGAAGTTAGGCTTGCAGGCCACATGGTCTCTGTCATAAGCCATACTCTGCTCTGCCACTGTAGAACGAAAGTGGTCATAGACAATAGGAAAGCAAATGAAAGTGACTGAGAGCCAAAAACTTCATTTATGGATGCTGAAATTTTTATCTCATATACCATGTCAAGAAATAATATTATTTACCTTTTTTTTTCAACGATTTAGAAATTTTAAAACCATTCTTAGCTCATGGGCTGCAGTAACAGAGGCAGTGTGTTGGGCCTTGCCCATATGCCACAGACTACTGACTTAGCCAGCACAGCAAATGCTCATGCTTTCTAGAGCTATGCAGACAATGTAAAACCAGGAACATCAGCTGTCATTTCAGGAAGGCCTTACTACCATAATTTTCTAAGTATTTTGCCTGGATGAACACAGGGAGAGGTGGGGCTTGGGGCAAACCAAAGTGAACATGTTCCCACCCACCTTTCCATCACATTACCTTCACAGGCAGAAGTTTTGAAAACTTCATGCTCATCAACCAAAATTATTTTATAGGTTGACTGTGACTAGATGCATGTAGGTACATCTAGATGACCTCCCCCCATCTAGAATCACAGTAACAAGACAATTATTCCAATAGAAAGCACATAAACAATCTCACTTACTTTCTTAGCCAGGGAAACTTCTGGTCTTAAGCCGCTCAGCTGAGGGGGCTCAGAGATATGACTGGGTAAAAGATCCTTAACTAAGGCAAATTCAAATATAGTAATTTCCCACTTCTAAGGTTTTTTTTTTTTTCTTTTTTAGAAATATATGTAAATTTAAAGTTAATTCAAGGGTAACATCCATTTTACCAACAGTCTTTTTAATAAGTGTCATAGAGGGCACAAAGCACCTTGCAAGGCCCTAAAGAGATACAAAGGCCCATAATATGGGTCATCTGCCCTCATGTTGTTTACAGTCTAAGGGACGCCAGACTTGCGACAATCCAAGGAGTATGATGCGGGGTGGGATGCTGTCATGGGAATTTAAACACAGTGCAGTGCTTTAAATCCTTATTTGGAAGATTTGGAAAGGCTTCATGATAGGGAAGAGATATTCAAGTTGATTTTTTAAGGTTGCATAGGAGTCTGTCCACTTAGAAAAGGCGGGAAATGACATTCTGGGTAGATGGAAGAATGTAATCTAAGTCACATAGCGCTTGGGAAGAAAGAGCCAACAGAATTGTGGAAGACCTCAAACACCTTGTTAAGAATTTAGACTTAATCTAAACCAGAGTTTCTTAACTTCCTGACCTTTTAGGTTAAATAACTCTTTGTTGTATGGAGTTATCCAGTGCATTGTAGATGTTTATCAGCATCTATATCCTCCACCTACTAGATGCCAGTAGCAGCTCCCCACAAGTTATGACAACTAAAAATGTTTCTAGGCATTACCAAATGTCTCCTGCGGAACAAAATCACCTCCTGTAGAGAACCACTGTACTAAAGCACCAAGTATACTGAGCTAGGGATTGGTGGGGATAGATTTTAGGAATAACTCTGGCACTCATCTGGGCAATTGTACTCCAAGTATGGCCCAAGGACCAGCAGCAGGAGCATCATTTGGGAACTTGCTAGAAATACAGAATTTCAGGCTTCACAGACCTAAGTCAGAATCTGAATTTTAACAAAATCCCCCGGCCATATTCACATTAAAGTGTGAGAAGCGCTAGTCTAGAGCAGTGTCTTCTAGTTTCTTCTATTACATCCCTCCATCAGCTGAAAGCATTAGAGTTTAGCCTCCATAGATATATTAGTTATAAATTATATACTTGCACCACTGTACCAATGCATTTTATACATTTTAAAAATGCACACAAAATAGCAAAGTAAAAAGAGGATATGTGTGTGTGTATGTGTGTGTATGTATGTGTGTGTGTGTGTGTATGTGTGTATATATAATCTTCATATTTTATTTACATTACCCTTTGGAGACCACACCTATAGAGGATAAGAGGGGGCCCGGACCTCACAAATGGCCATTCCAGACATACCAGTGGCAGATCACAGAAGTTTGACTTAGGGCAGTTAAATAAGAATGCACGCTCTTAATATTTTTCTTTGTCTTTTATGGAGACAGGGTCTCACTATGTTGCCCAGGCTGTTCTTGAACTCCTGAACTCAAGTGGTTGTCTTGCCTTAGCCTCCCAAAGTGCTAAGATTAAAAGCATGAGCCACCGTGCCTGGCCATTCCTGATATTCTAAGCCTCTTGTGATAATTTTAAATACACAATTCACCAATATAAGTATGCTTAGCTGTGAAATAGTCAAATTCAACCCGATCATGTTAACACAAAGTCAGTGCCTGATTTCCTTGGGCAAAACAAACTCCTTAGAATTAGACACATCCATGAATGGATGTCTTGGTCACATTTAACAGCTTCCTCAGGCTGGCTTTAAAATCCCCATTGCTTCTGAAAACATTCATGATATTTTCTATAAGGATGATTATGCTTTTATAAAGTGGTTATTTTTAAAAAGCCCACATTATTTTAAATCCTTGTTGAATATAATAAACTGTGCCTTTCCCTGCCACCCACAGCAATTAATGGAAGACTGTTTGGAAATAACCAAGGTCTAACATTTCACGTTGGGGATGTAGTGAATTGGTATCTGATTGGCATGGGAGATGAAGCTGACGTGCACACCGTTCACTTTCATGGCCATAGCTATGAATACAAGGTAAGAGCCTTCGACGGGTCCATATACTGTGAGGCCTTGTAAACCAGTTATGGAGTAGTATGGCAGGATAACAGGACTGGAAAGAAAATGACCAAGTCAGAAATTTGATCCATATCATCTATATCAGGTACTAGAAAATAATTATAATTTAGCTCTTTATATCCCATGGACACTTGATAAATGCTGACCAAAGAATGAAATGCCAACCAAAGAAAGAGATTCTCACTCTAATCTATTGTTAGTTAATAGATAAATAAGACTTTTATAGTCATTTCTAGTTTTTCACTTTTCTATCCCAACTTAAAAATTTTTTTTATGCCCTCAGTAACATAAAGAAAAATACTCTGAATGCTCATATGTATTTTGCCACATTAGCTTTCTCTTCTATGTTTTTTTCTGAATGCAATTCAAAGTACGTTGCAAACCTTATGACTCTTTACCCCTAAATACTGAATCATCCCTAAGAATAAGGACAGTCTCCACCCCAACTACAATAAAATGATCACACCCCCAAATTAACATTAATTCAATAATATAGTCTAATGTACAATCCATTCAAATATCCCAAGTTGTCCTAAAAATGCTCCGTATAGCTGTTTTTTGTTTTTTTTTTAAAACCTAGGACCTGATCAAGATGCATACATAGCATTTGGTTGCCATTGCCATACCGTTCCTAAAATCTGAAGAGATCCCCTTGCCTTTTAAAAAAATTCCTCCCTCATAACATTTCATTTTTGAAGGGTCCAGGCCAGTTGTTTTGTAGAATGTTCCATATTCTGCATTGGCCTGATAGTTTCCTCATGATTGGATCCATGTTTAACAAATTTGCCTAGAACACCACAAAGGTGATGTTGTATGCTCCCCATGCATCGCATCAAGAGGTACATGATGGCAATAGGTCCTCATATTGCTGAGGCTAAGTTTAAGAACTTGATTAAGGTGATTCTGAGAATATAGGAATAAAAACCGTATCAAAGTGATTTTCCTGTTCTCTCACTCAAAATCAGTTACACAGAAGACTTCTTTGATCTCTGGTCACAAATAAGGGTGGGGAGATTTCCCTTCCTCTGCAATCAATCAATCAGTTCTGCATTGGACACCAGCTAGGTGTCCTCCAATTCAATTTTGACACTATCTACCTGGATACAGCGTCAGACCCCACAAGTTGAGAGCTCAGTTCTACAAGGCTGCCCCCACTTCCAATGCCAATCATAAGCTCCAGGTTGTTTTCATATGCTTCTGTGCAGCAGGCTATAAATTGGGATTCCTATGACCCCCTCCTTGAATTCAATTAATTCCCTAGAATGGCTTACAGAATGAAGGGAAATACTTGCTTACATTTACTGGTTGATCAAAAAGGATATTAGAAAGTGTATTAATGAATACCAGGTGAAGAGATGCTAGGGTAAGGTATGGGAGGAGCACATGGAGCTTCTGTCCCCTCTCCAGGTGAGCTACCCTGCAGGAACCAGATGTTTGGCTATCTGGAGTCTCTCTGAATCCTGTCCATTTGGGTTTTTATGGAGGCTTCATTACATAGGCATGATTGATTAGATGATTGGCCATTGGTGATTAACTTAACCTTCAGCCTCCCTTCCCTCCCCAGAGGTTAGGGGATGCGGCTGAAAGTCCCAATCCCCTAATCCTGCCCTGGTCTTTATGGTGACCAATCCTCACTGTAAACCAAAAATAAAATTCTAAGCCCCCCAAACAATTGAAAAATTGAATAAAATTCTAAGTATCCTCTAGACCAAGTGCATTCCTAAGTTAACCTGAAGAACTAATTCAGGCCATGATGGGAAGTGAGGGTTGGATATGCCTCATTATACTATCCACTCTTTGGAATTCATTCTTAGCTGACCAGCATTAACATTAAAATGAAGACCTTAAGACTGAAAGAACAGACTCTTTGTAGTAATAAGATACCAACATGACAGTTAGCAGGCCCTAAATTAGGAAATCAAAGTATTTTACCCCAAAATATATTTCTTTGACATTTTTTGAAACAGCCCTGCAAATCTAACTGTTATGGGGAAAATCTGCATTCTGCAGAGAATCCTCTTCCCTTTCCAGGTCTTTTTCCTGATCCAGGAGAGAATGAACTTACAAGAGTCTGGTACTTTTTTTTTTTTTTTTTTTTTTGAGATGGAGTCTCACTCTGTTGCCCAGGCTGGAGTGCAGTGGCATGATCTCGGCTCCCTGCAAGCTCCGCCTCTCAGGTTCATGCCATTCTCCTGCCTCAGCTTCCTGAATAGCTGGGACTACAGGTGCCTGCCACTACGCCTGTCTAATTTTTTTGTATTTTTAGTAGAGACGGGGTTTCACTGTGTTAGCCAGGATGGTCTTGATCTCCTGACCTCATGATCTGCCCACCTTGGCCTCCCAAAGTGCTGGGATTACAGGCATGAGCCACCATGCCTGACTGGTTTGGAATGAATTTCTTAAAATGGATTTCTAATTTGATCATGCTGTGGTCTGAGTGACTGTTGTGGTTTTAACTATTTTTGCATTTGCTAAGGAGTGTTTTACTTCTGATTATGTGATCAATTTTAGAGTTAAGTACCATGTGGTGATGAGAAGAATGTATATTCTTTTGTTTTTGTGTGGAGAGTTCTGTAGATATCTGTCAGGTCTCCTTGATCCAGAGCTGAGTTCAGGTCTTGAATATCTTTGTTAAGTTTCTGTCTTGATGGTCTGTCTAATATTGTTAGGAGGGGGTGTTAAAGTCTCCCACTATTATTGTGTGGAAGTCTAAGTCTTTTTGTAGGTCTCTGAGAACTTGCATGATGAATCTGGGTGCTCTGTATTGGGCACATATATAGGATAGTTAGTGCTTCTTGTTGAATATTTAGGATAGTTAGTGCTTCTTATTGAATTGAACCTTTTACCATTAGGTAATCCCCTTCTTTGTCTTGTTTTATTTTTGTTGGTTTAAAGCCTGTTTTGTCAGAAACTAGGATTGCTTTTTTCTGTTTTCCATTTGCTTGCTAAATTTTCCTCCATCCTTTTATCTCAAGCCTATGGGTGTCACTGCATGTGAGATGGGTGTCTTGAAGACAGCATACAGATGGCTCTTGGTTCTTTATCCAGCTTGCTATTCTGTGTCTCTTAACTGGGCCATTCAGCCCATTTACATTTAAGATTAGTGTGTGAATTTGATCCTGTCATCATAATGCTAGCTGGTTATTTTGCAGACTTGTTTATGTGGCTGCTTCATAAATCGCTATATGGTTGCTTCATAGCGTCACTGGTCTCTGTACTTCACTGTGGTTTTATAGTGGCTGGTAATGGTTTTGTCTTTCCATATTTAATGCTTCCTTCTGGAGCTCTTGCAAAGCAGGGTGGTGGTGACAAGTTCCTTCTGCATTTGCTTGTCTGAAAAGAATCTTATTTTTCCTTCACTTATGAAGAAGCTTAGTTTGGCCAGATATGAAATTCTGGGTTGGAAATTCTTTTCTTTAAGAATGTTGAATATTGGCCCCCAATCTCTTCTGGCTTATAAGGTTTCCACTGAGAGGTCCACTGTTAGTCTGATGGGCTTCCCTTTGTAGGTGACCTGGCCTTTCTCTCTGGCTGCCCTTAATATTTTTTCTTTCATTTCAATCTTGGAGAATTTGATGATTTTGTGTCTTGGGTTGATCTTCTCATGGAGTATCTTACTGGGGTTCTCTGTATTTCCAGAATTTGAATGTTGGCCTGTCTTACTAGGTTGGGGAAGTTCTGGATGATATCCTGAAGAATGTTTTCCAATTTGGTTCCATTCTCCCCATCTCTTTCAGGTACCCCAATCAGTCATAGGTTCAGTCTTTTTATATAATCCCATATTTCTCAAAAGATTTATTCATTCCTTTTTATTCTTTTCTCTCTCTTCTTGTCTGTCTGTCTTATTTCAGAAAGATACTCTTCAAGCTCTGAGATTCTTTCCTCCATTTGGTCTATTGTACTATTGTTACTTGTGATAGCATTGTGAAGTTCTCGTGTTGTTTTTCAGCTCCATCAGGTCAGTTATGTTCCTCTCTAAACTGGCTATTCTGGTTATCAGCTCCAGTATTGTTTTATCATGATTCTTACTTTCTTTGCATTGGGTTACAACATGGACCTTTAGCTCAGTGAAGTTTGTTATTACCCACCTTCTGAAGCCTACTTTTGTCAATTCAGCCAACTCGGCCTCAGCTCAGTTCTGTGCCCTTTTTGGAGAGGTGTTGTGGTCATTTGGAGTAGAAGAGGCACTCTGGCTTTTTGAGTGTTCAGCATTTTCACGTTGATTTTTTCTCATCTTTGTGGGCTTATTTACGTTTGATCTTTGAGGTTGCTGATCCTTGAATGAGGCTTTTAAGGGGTCTCGTGTCGTTGTTGTTTTCTCTTTGTTCTCTTTGTTTATTTTTAACAGTCAGGCCACTTTTCCATAGGGCTGTTGTGGTTTGCTGGGGGTCTGCTCCAGACCCTAGTTGCCTTGGTTTTTCCTGTACCTGGAGGTATCAACAGAGAAGACTGCAAAACAGCAAAGATGGCAGCCTGATACTTCCTCTGGAAGCTCCATCCCAGAGGGGTACTAACCTGTTGCTGGCCCGAATGCTCTTGTAGGAGGTGTCTGGAGACCCCTGTTGGGAGGTCTTGCCCAGTCAGGAGGAACAGGTTCAGGGACTTACTTAAAGCAACAGTCTGGCTGCTTTTTGGTAGGGCAGGAGTGCTGCATTGCTGGGGACCCTTCCTGGACTCTTCAGAGCCAGCAGGGTGGAATGGCTGAGTCAACTGAACTGCAGAGGTGGGTGGCAGCTGCCCATTTCCCTGGGAGTTCTGTCTCAGGGAGAGGTCAGAGTTCCGTCTGTATAACCCTGGCTAGAGTTGCTGAAACCCCTGCAGGGAGGCCTCGCCCAGTAGGAGGAATGGATCAGGGTTCCACTTAAAGAAGTAGTTTGGCCATGTATGATCTGGCAGAGTGACGGTGCTGTGTTGTAGGGGATCCCTCCTCATCCGGACTGCCTGGGCTTTCCCGAGTTGGCAGGCTGAAACAGCTGAGTTGATTGAACCACAGAGATGGTGGTTGTCCTTCCCCGTAGGAATTCTGTGCTGTCCCAGGCAGTTTCCAACCTGTTTCCATTGGCTGCCTGGAATTCCAAGCCAGTGGGTCTTAACTTGTGAGGTGACATGGAATTGGGGCTTGCAGAACAATGCTGCTTGGCTCCTTGGATTCAGCCCCCTTTCTAGGGGAATGTATGGATGGATCTCCTGACTTGCCAGGATTCCTGGGGCCAGAGTATATAAAACTTCTGCGTCTCCGTGTGTGACTCCATGGCTGCTCTGCTGAGTCCATACAGTTTTGTGTATGGGGCCAAGGCCCTGATGGCATGGGCTCATGAGGGGATCTCTTAATCCTCAGGTTGCAAAGATCCATGGGAGAAGCATGGTTTCCTGGGTGGTGTCACACAACCACTCACCACTTTCTTTAGCTGGAGTTGGGAGTTCCTTTGGCTCCATGCCACTCCCACATGGGCTGTCGCCACACCCTGCTTTTGTTCATTCTCCATGGATCCGAGTGGTTTGCCTAGTCAGTCCCAATGCAAGAACCTGGATATTTCAGTAGAAGTTGCTGAATTCACTTGCTTCTTTCATTCCTCTCTGCGAGTGCTGCAGACTACAGCTGCTTCTAATAGGTCATCTTAGCCCCTCCCCCACACTTCTTTACAATTGTTATCATGACCACTTTTGACTCATCATTTCTTTATGATAAGTATTTTAAATTTTATCCTTCCTCTTTCAGTTTCCAAGTTTGTATCATTCATTAATGTCTACTTAAAGAGCTTTTTATTTCTTCATCCTAATTCCTTATGTAAACATTAATGTATAATTTAGGATCAATTATATTCTCTGCGTTTCACACCTTAGACATTTAATCCAACCACTAGGCATTAGTACAGTTCACCTTTTCCACACAGATAAAAGTTTCAGATAAAGCTTTCCTGAATTCCAGATGTATTATGTTAATAGCTTCTTTAATGCAGTGTCTATCGTACAAATAACTTAGATAAGCAAGCACCTTTTGGTTTGCAGAAAGCCTTGTTGGTGTGCTGCTTTATTTCCCACCATTTAATGAACACATTTATTCCTCTTAAATTTATTTTTGGCATAAAAACTCTTTATTACGGAGAATTTTATATAATAAACAGAATAATGTAACGAAACTCTATTACCCAAATCTAATCACCGTAAACTCACTACACTTTCATCTACACTCCCCATTTTTTTAAAGCAAAAGCCTACATATTAGGATTACTCATTTCATAAGTGTTTATATTAAAGACTTTTAAAATTGGGCCAAAAGAGGGCTGGGTGTGGTGGCTCACTCCTGTAATCCCAGCACTTTGGGAGGCCAAGGTGGGCAGATCACAAGGTCAGGATATCGAGACCATCCTGGCTAACACGGTGAAACCCCATCTCTACTAAAAATACAAAAAATTAGTCAGGCGTGGTGGCAGGTGCCTGTAGTCCCAGCTACTTGGGAGGCTGAGGCAGAAGAATCACTTGAACCCAGGAGGTGGAGGTTGCAGTGAGCCAAGATCACACTGCTGCACTCTAACCTGGGCAATAGAGTGAGACTCTGTCAAAAAAAAAAAAAAAAAAATTGGGCCAAAAGAGATATTTAAAATCTGGTCGTCATGTTTTACAGATTATCTGATTTTGTCAAATATAATAGTTCAGTCCAGCAAATGCCTCTAACATGCCTAGAACCATGCTAAGTGTTGCATGGAGCTGAAAGGAAATCAGAATTGTTTTTCAGGGACAATTGCAGGGATATTATATGAAGCATTAACAAAATAGGGAACTTTCCTACAAGCAGGAAGTGATAGAAGTTAGATTTAAACCCCGGCTCTCACTCTAGAGTCTGAACTCTTTAGTGCTTCACAAAACTGCCTCCCTTAAATATAATCCTATTTATACCACAGAGCCTAGTATCACCGGCTCTCAACTTTAACCACTCACTCTAAACCCATTGCAGGATATATCTAGTCTCCCACCTTGAGGCAGAATACTATCACACCAGCATCTATGCAGACACTGGGCTCTATTCCCTGAAACTCCCAGGGCAGTGAAGCAGCCCTCTGTGGTTACTAACTGAGTTCTGGGACAAGCCAGCCAGTCACAGCTTGGTCCCTAAAGCTACAATCTGCTTGGGTGCCAGGGTTCTAGGTATATTTTCCATATTTACTGATGCTTTGGACATTGTCAATTTGTAGTTAAATTTTTTTTTTCATACTGTTCTCTATATTTTTCTGATATCCAAAAAGTGTATCCTAGGTCATCTGTATTATTTTCACTTTAGTTGCAAAATTAATGTTCCTAAATAACCATGGCTAGAGCTCCAACTCTGCATCCAGTAAGAAACAGCTCAGTCTTTCTCCTGTCTACCTTCTGATATCTGCAGGGAGTCTTGAGAGCTTAAATGTCTTCTATTCACCCCAACTCTAACTTCCTGCTTCTGCTCATCTCCCTTGCCTCTCAACTCCTGGGGCTGGTATTTTTTCATATCTGTGTGCAATTCCAAACATGGAGCACATCCCATTTCCTTTGGTACTCTTAAGCAACTACAAAATCAAGGTCATTGTGAGTCACAGACTTTTAGTGAAAGAGTGGGGATAAATGAAGTTTTTTTTCCAGTGCTACATAATGAAAGCACTTACCATTTGACGTTAGATGCCCCACCCCCAATTACCCTTTCACCAGCATCACTGAGAGCCTCTAGCTCATTTGCCTTTTACGCTCACCCTCAGGACTTGTTTCTCCACATTTTTCCTCTCTAGACTCTCTGGCATCCCTTCTCTCCTCAAATTATTCAGAACTCTTGAGCTGCAGTTCCCCAACCCACCCCTACCACCATCCTCCAAATACTTCTCATTTTATTTTGTAGAGCAATTCACCTTCCTTTTAGTCTCTTTCAAGCCATCTGGACTAGGGCCTAGGACTTCATCTCTAAAACTCTAAGCAGCCTACAGAGATAGTTTCCTAAACATTAGGTTCTTTGCTTAGGAGAGAAATTAGCTAAAAAGTGCCCTCAGCCCTCAGCCCTCAGTCCTCAGCTCCAATCTCCAGAAGGCAGACTTGGTTGCAGATGCCAAGGGAGCTCCTCCTCCCTCCTCCTCCCTTTCCCCTTCTCTTTCCTGTAACAATGAGTTTTTCTGATTAGCTGCATCTCAAGAAATGACAATCCTTCACATCAACATGTTATGTCACATCAACATAACATCTTGAGTTAGAAATATGTCAGTTAGAACCTTTGGGATTTGAGACTAGAAGTTCTCTGAAATCTAGAGTGCTCAGTGGTGTGAGACATTGGCAAGTTTCTGACACTAGTACTAACTACAGGTACCCTTGTAGAGTGAAACATTTTCTTTGTGTTCTACCTAACACTGGAATGTTCTGGGACTTACTTCTCCAAAGCCTCAAGTGTACTCAGAGAAGAGAACAGAATAGCTTTAATAGCTTAATCCTTCCCTTTCCTTCCCTTCCGTTCCTTTCCCTTCCCTTCCCTTCTCTTCCCTTCCTTTCCTTTGCTTTCCCTTTTCTCTTCCCTTTTTTTCTCCTTCCCCTCTCCTCCCCTCCCCTCCCTTCTCTTGGCTTCAACTCCCTTCTCTTGCCCTCCACTCCCTTCCCTTCCCCTTCCCTTTCTTTTTCCTTTTCAGATGGCATCTTGCTCTGTCACCCAGGCTGGAATACTGGAGTGCAGTGGCATGATCATAGTTTACTGCAGTCTTGAACTGAGCTCAAGCAATCCTTCCACCTCAGCTTCCCAGGTAGCTGGGACTATGGGCACGCACCACCGCCTGGCTAATTTTTAAAATATATATTTTTTTTAGAGGTGAGGAGCTTGCTATGTTGCTCAGGCTGGTCTTGAACTCCTGAACTCAAATCATCCTCCCCTGCCGCCCCAGCTTCCCAAGTGATGGATTACAGACATAAGCCACCGTGCCCAGCCCAGCACCTAATGCTTTCTAATTGTCACCTAATTAGGTATATCAGAATTTGGGAATTACAGCAAGTGGTAGAGTGACATCTTTTAGAAGCCATGTAATGGTGTTTAATCTCCTTGTTAAGGATTGGGGAGTGTATCGATCTGATGTTTATGACCTTCCTCCTGGGGTCTATCGAACTGTAAAAATGTATCCAAGAGATGCTGGAACCTGGTTATTTCATTGCCATGTTTTTGAGCACATTGGTGCTGGAATGGAAAGCACTTACACTGTACTTGAAAGAAAAGGTAAGATCCATTGGCTAAATTAATTAGAAGTGATATTTAAACAAATGTAGTATTTCTATAATGATATTATAAATGCATTGTACAGTCACATAATGTGATGTGCCACTCATTCATTCAAAGATTACTATTTGGAGATGACCAAGATACTCTAGTTTTATTTTCTTTGTAAAACTCAGATAACTTTTCATGATCTGATAAAAGATACTCCAGAGTTAAATGTAATTTCCAGATTCACATAAGTATACATATAAGGTATAAACAGACAATTCATAGAAGATCAAAAACAAATATCTTTTGAACCTATAAAAATATCCAAACTTGCCAATAATCAAATCACTTCAAAATCACATTTAAGCAACAATACAATACCTTTTTGAGTATATTTTGGCAAATATTTATCTATTTTTAATGATAGCATCAATAACAGTGCAGTGAGATAGGGTGCATTGCATATACTTTGGTGGATGAGTAAATTGGTTCTGCAGATCTTGCAGGAACCTAAATCATGATCCCCATATTTTGACTCAGTATTTCCACCTGGCATTTGATCTCAGAAAATTATCAACAATGAAGAAAAATATGTATCACCACATTATTTTATGCTAATGGAAAACCAAAAACAAGCAAATGATATACGTAATGTGTGTAAAAATTGCAACATATCATCTAAAATATCCAACTTTAAAAATTATGTCTTAAAAATTTTAATCAGTAAATGCTTATAATACCATATTGGGTGGCAAGAAAAGCAGTCTACAAAATAGTATCTGAAATATATATATGAAGACTGAATAGAAATTTAGTGAGATGTTACTGATGACTCTCTCTAGTTAGTGAAATTATTAGTGAGATTTATTAAGAAAATAATAAGAAGATATGTATTAAGAAAGAATAAATCTCACTAATAATCTGTTTCTTCCAAGGTTTCTGTAAAGTTTAAATTACTTTCAAAATTAGGAAACCTATTGAACATATATATCATACACTATTTAAAATATACCATGCAGCTCTCAAGTTATGTGAATATTTTCTCCGTGGGGCTCTTTGCAGGGCTGATGGAGCGGAGCCTCTGAAACAGAGAAAGGAGTGTCTGCATGAACAGTTTCTCAGAATCTTCTCTCAATATCAGGACTACGTTTGTCAACAAAACCAAAAACTGATTAGCCACCAATATAATTTTTACCTACAACATCCTATTAATGTCAATAATATCATTATTGATACAATGCTAATAATCATTATCCTTATTCCTATCAGTGTTCATGCACATTCTTAGTAAAAGAGACTTTGGTGTGCTGTCCATGAAATAAATCCCCCACTGCTAACACTCTTTCTTTGGGAAAGTAGATTTTGCATTTCAAAGAATATAAAGTCAAATTTGATTGGATTTATAGGTCATCTGTTCCCACAGAAGGGTGATATTGATGTTGCTATTAACTTAGTAAGTAAACTTTTTGTGGCAAAAGTGATGGTAATCATTTTAAGGATGTTCCTAAGACTAATATATATTTTGTGTTGATTCCTTAAATGTATTGCAATCATTTTGGTTTAGTATTTTAACTTAGAACTACATGCTATTATATAATATTATCTATTTTTGAAACTTGCTTTTCTACAGCATAAATATTTGATATGATATGAATATTGACAAGCTTACAAACCAAGGTAAAGCTGCCAAAGAAGAAAAACTCCAGGGACAAAGGAGTCTGGGAGGAACCAGCTAAAGACTTTCATGACAATGTGCCAGGAAAAGTAGTTTGAAATAAAAGTTTTCTTAGTACGTTTTGTGTGAGAGCTCCTTCTTGTTTTCATAAATTGACCCTGAAGTGGTGTCTGTATTGTCTTGTGAGTGATGTAATAAGGTTTTAACAAATGCAATGGGGGTAGGTAGGAGAGACAAAGAGAGCAAGAGCAAAGTCTTGCTCAGTTATAAAATGTACCAAATGTATGCAACCCAAGACTTTACCCTAGACTGCAACATTTGTAAACCTTTAAAAAAATTAAATTCTCATAGCATGTGTAAGCATTTAAATCAATCTTTGAAATGCAAATCTATATATTATATTGTGCCTTAGGATTGGAAGATGATAGATTACAGAATATATAATTTTCAGTTTTCCAGAACAAAAAAAAAGGTGGGGGGGGGAGCCGGGGGACTCAAGTTCTGAGCTCATATCTGGCAGTACTAAGCAGTTAGGATGTGTTCTATAAGCAACAGAAAACCCAGCTAAGAGAGAATTATCAGTGCTGTTTGTCTTATATAATAAAAAAGTTTGGAGATAAGTGGCTGCTAGGATTGGTTTAGCAATTTTTTAAGACAGAATCTCACTCTGTTGCCCAAGCTGGAGTTCAGTGGCATGATATTGCCTCACTGTAACCTCCACCTCCCTGGTTCAAGCAATTCTCCTGCCTCAGTCTCCCCAGTAGCTGGGACTACAGGTGTGCACCACCACACCTGGCTAATTTTTGTATTTTTAGTAGAGACAGGGTTTCACCTTGTTGGCCAGGCTGGTCTTGAACTCCTGGCCTCAAGTGATCCACTCGCCTCGGCCTCCCAAAGTGCTGGGATTACAGGCATGAGCCACTGCACCCAGCCTGGTTTAGCAATTTGATGATATGAGGGCCAGTGTCTTTAATTCCCTTGGCCTTTTCCTCATAATTGTTGCCTCACGGTTGCAAAATGGTTGCTGCAGCTCCAGATATTACATCCACATTGAAGGCAGAGAAGATGGAAAAAGGGGAAGCATCAGTCACATCTGAGGAGACACCAGCCAATTTCTGCCTTTGTCTTATTGGTCAAAACCATTATTAGCTGGCTACTCCTAACTGCAGAGGAGACTGGAAAAGAATTTTGTAGCCTCTATCATGAAAGGAACAAGGGAGACTGGGTTAGAAATGTCTTGTGAGTTGGCTAACAGCCTTTTCTTTAGACAATAAGTAAGAATACTTGAAATCAGAGCTTGGTTAAACAAGAGTTCAGGTTTTTACTTTCTAGCTTCTTAGCTGTGTAGGCAGTACATGAAAACCTGGAGTGTAATCAAGCAAATTCTTGATATTATATCATTTCACTCCAAAATACTCCACTATGTATCTCCAGCATAAAATAACTTTTAAAAAGTAATATAGTGGCTGGGTGTGGTGACTCACGTCTGTAACCCCAGCACTTTGGGAGGCCGAGGCAGGCGGATCATGAGGTCCAGAGATGGAGATCATCCTGGCCAACATGGTGAAACCCTCTCTCTACTAAAAATACAAAAATTAGCCAGGCGTGGTGGCACATGGCTGTAGTCCCAGCTACTCGGGAGGCTGAGGCAGGAGAATCACTTGAACCCAGGAGGCAGAGGTTGCAGTGACCTGACATCACACCACTGTACTCCAGCCTGGCAACAGAGCGAGACTCTGTCCCAAAAAAAAAAAAAAAAGTAATATAGTAAAAATGCTATTATAAAATCAGACAAAATTAGCAGTAATACCTCATTATTTGATATTAAAACTATTAAGAACTTATGAAATATGGATGCAAGTAACTCCCTCCATAGAAACATTCAAGTCTGAGATTTTCAAAGGTGCTGATAAAACTAGAGCATTCTTTAAGAAACTGCAAAAGATATTGCCCAAATTTCACCAATAATGTGTAATTAACTCATTCATTCATTCATTTAAGAACACAGTTCCAAACTTTGACTTATCAGGTGGACGAAGTATGATTTAGTAAATGGAGTTGAATGGAAGGGTAGTAATCTGTATGAATTCTTAACAGAAGAGATTCAAAGACTAAGAATGTGTCAATGGAATGTGTCACCTGCACAGCTGTTGGAAGGTGCTCTTATTCTAATAATGAGTACCCAGTATTTAGACAGAAATCATGTTAATTTTTAAAATGTCAAAGAAAAAAGAAAAGGTACATGCTTTAAGAGTATCTTCCCTTTTGTGAACGAGATCATGTCCTCTGCAGGGACATGGATGGAGCTGGAAGCCATTATCCTCAGCAAACTAACGCAGGAGTAGAAAAGCAAACACTGCATGCTCTCACTTATAAGTGGGAGCTGAACAATGAGAACACATGGGCACAGGGAGGGGAACATCACACACTGGGGCCTGTCGGGGGGTGGGGTAAGGGGGAGGGTGAACATTGGGAAAAATAGCTAATGCATGCGGGCTTAATACCTAGATGATGGATTGAAAGGTGCAGCAAACCACCATGACACATATTTACCTATGTAACAAACCTGCACATCCTGCATATGTACTCCAGAACTTAAAATACAAATTAATATTAATTTACAAAATTAATTTCTAAAAAATACCTACCCTTTTGCTCAAACTCTATACTTGGGAAGGAAACTGTGTTCCATAATACAATTTTCTGAGTGAATCTATAAACAAGGACGGAATGCCTCCAAATTGAAAAAAAAAACAGTAATATAAATGATATAAATTATGGCTACTATGCTTTATTATACTTTAATTTTACATGAATTATTTAACTTTATTAATGAATAATGATTTACTCTCCAAGCTATTCACAATCAATCAGCACCTTTAAACCCAGTCACCTTTAAGTAAACTGACAAAACGAAGGTTTGGAATCTACCATGTGACAACCCCAACCCAGGCAAACTCCTTCTAGAGTGCAGACAGACTGGGAAGCCCGGCCTGGAGCTACTCCGGTGCTTTCCCACATGGCCCTCTATAGTGTGCTGTGTCTTCTGCTTCCAGGGGAGCCATGACTAGCAGTAAGCTTTTCTCTCAATGGCATTGGCCTCTCAGAATTGTCACTCAGTCACCTTTTGTAAATTAAGACCCGGACACAAATCAGTGTTAAGAGCTATGCAGTGTATAGAACCCTCACATGGGGTCAAAGCAAGAGAAAATGGGCCAGGGGTGTTATGAGAGGAGAGCGTTTCAAGAAAGTCATGCATTAAATTTCTGTGTAGTCAAAGTAGTGAATGAAGTTATTCCTTTAAAAAGGGTTGTTCTTCAATCTTTTTAAAAATTATATTATTGTGGTTCTATTTCATTTTTGATAAATCACATGCTTTGATTTCTATAACAGTCAAGGTAGTGAGAGAACAAGAATGAAGGATTCAGCTACATTCTTATGCTGTTTTTTTAAAGTCTCTTTCCCATAGTACTACTGTATGTTAAGGCTTTCTGTAGGTTAGAGTCTGGGCTTTCTCCCTTCCCTTGCCTGGGACCATTTTACATCCCGGGAGCTGACGACTAGGGCCATGACCCCATTAATGTGCAGCCAAAGGGGGATGGTGACATGACTGAAGACCTATCTGACAGATCATTTCCAAAATAGTCATGACCTGACCGATAGGGGAGAATAGTATCAGCAATGCGCACACTGTGCTAGGGCAAGTCAGTGTACTCATTAGCAAAGTCTGTACGTGACCACACTCACCTCTGAAATTCCAGAGTTACACAATTTCCTGTGAAAAAGAAAGCAGCATGGTTATCTGTCCAATTGGTCATAGTCAGAATGACCTGCTATTTTGTACTTAGAGTCTCCAGCTGTCACAAAGTGAAGGACAGTTCTCGATGGTTTCCTAATAATTCTGTTGGCATGGAGTAGAGGTTAAGAGCCAGTTCTCAAGGGTCAGCAAAAAATGGAACTAGAAGGTATATACAAGAATAGTGGCAGTAAAGAGAGATTGCATCCTGCCAGACAGAAATAAACAGAGGGGATATTCTCTAAAGAAGGCAGCTTCCTTGACGTTAGCCATCCACAGTCTCAGAATCGTGATTTCCAAATGCAGATAAGATTCACCCAGTCCAGAAATCCTTAAGATGACAAAAAAAAAAAAAAAAAGAAAATGTGGAAAATGATTAAAACTTCTGTTACATAACTGTACTCAGGTTACTAAGCTGTTAACTTAGACATATACTTGTTGTTTATAACAAAGATATACCGTGGGATTCTGAGGTAAAAACCTTTTGACAAGCACAGCGAAGAGGACAGGCTGTTTCGCAGTCTAGATTCCTCTCTTTCTTGCAACGCTGTAAGTTTCCTAGGCTGCTTCTGGTGCCCCTCTGCTCCTTCTTGTCTCACCCCAGTCTGTGCTGTTGTGGTGCATTTCTTGAGTGCAGAAAACTCTCAACTGCAACATTATGCAAAGTTCACTTTAAAGTACTATCTCTGGAATCACTGTAATGAAGTTTGCAGTGCAAAATGACTCTGCTAATGGCTGAACTTAATAGCTCCCAGGGGCTTCTCCCTCCTATTTTTATTTATTTATTTATTTATTTATTTATTTATTTATTATTTGTTTATTCTTTTGAGACAAAGTCTTGTTCTGGCGCCCAGACTAGAGTGCAGTGGCGTGATCTAGGCTCACCACAAGTTCCGCCTTCCGGGTTCACACCATTCTCCTGC